TCCTTCCTTCCTTCCTTCCTTCCTTCCTTCCTTCCTTCCTTCCTTCCTTCCTTCCTTCCTTCCTTCCTTCCGAGGAATATATACTTGATATATACTTCATAGTCCAACCCCCTGCTTAGGCAAGAAACCCTATAGCATTTCAGACAAAATAGGTTTTATATATCTGAACCTTGAATTATAAGCAGTTCCAAAATAGATCTTGTTGAAATAACTAAGATCTAGATACTAGGCTTTGTCCAATAAAGTACAACAAAGGAAACTTCTTTCCCTTTCTCCTCATTTAAAACATTCATCAGCATGAAGATGGTACTTCCGTGATCATGTAGGCAAGCTCAACTTTCTTTTTTTCTATGAGGGACAGTATGAACCTGTAAGGAACCCAGACTTCTCAGCCTTTTCTTCTTTTTCTTCCAGACTTTTCAAATTAACAGATACTTGATTGTTCTCTTGATGTCCTTGTAAATGATTGTACTGCATTTAAACTGTGATTCTCACTAGCCTGAAGTCTTCAGATTCTGCTTTGTGTATTTGATGTATACAGCACACTTCAAACATTAGATTAGATTTGTTTTTACCATTTTCTTTGATATATACTTCATATGTATAGTTTTATCAAGATATTTTAGAGGTGAATGTTTCCAAGCCTTTTATTGTGGAATCTTAAGTTTCTTGTATAATAAAAAAAATAATACAAGAATTTTCAGGTAGCTGGAAAAGTTTTCTCCAGAGTGACTTGAATCAATTAATTAATTAATTAAAAGAATTGAAGAGAGTTACTGTCTAATTCAGTCAGTGTCATTGTGTACAGATCATTTTAGCAAGTGGACAATGATATTTTAATAAGGGAGTTCTCTACTCCCAACTCACAAAGAGTTTTACGATTTAGCATTAATATTTTGAAATAGACCCATAGTTTAGAAATTATTTTACCTAAGCAATATAGCATTTAGCATTTTTATATCTGTACCTTCTGCTAATTTCAGTTTTCAACTTTTCTGCAAAGTCTACTTATTACAGTCATCTAATCAGGAGATTAAGAGTCAAAATGAGTTTAGTTGGTTTGCTAACTGATAATCTGTCTGTAACACCTGAAATTGCCAAAATATTTTCCATTACCATAAATGAAGGAGAGTTTTAAAAATGTAAATTGGTACATTGGTTCATTCTTTATGCATTGACAAATGTAGATGCCTCATGTTAACTAAACTCAATTCAGTGATTTGGCTTTGATCCAGTCTTATTTTGATCCCAAACCCTGCTTTCTCAATAGACTTGTATAAGTTCATGTTATCTGCATACTACTGATATGTAATTCACTCAGCTATATTTATATGTAAAGGTCCACATTTAGTGATCACAATTGGGATTGATAACTTGGTCATTAAGCAAAGCAGTCAGTAAGTAAAACTGCAGCTGTGCTTATTACTTCAGCTTTACAGATTTATTATCTGAAAAGATAATACATTTGAAACCTTTGGTTGTAAAGTTTTTTTTTATCACCATTGTAACTATGAACAGTTGCCAAACAAGGTAATCCCTAAATGAGGACTACCTGTACTAGAATATAGCGATAAGGGAAAATTCTGTAAAGATCCATTTAACATAAATGATATGAATAAAGAAATAGTCTCCTACCACTACTTTTCAAAATAAGTCATCTATTAAGTGTGAAATTATTATAATATGCTACCACAGATTTCAAACTTGAACAGCCTATCCAGAAAGAGCGAAATATTATTGAAAATTCTGGTTGAATTAACAAATTCCAGCTCAGATTGTCCATCAAGACAACTAAGGAAGCTGTCTGCCAAATTTAGATTTTAAATTCAGATAATCATAGAATCGTAAGGCTGGAAGGAACATTGGAGGCCTTCTAATCCAATCCCCTGCCCAAGACAGAAATCCTTATACCATCCTGGGCAAATGGTTGTCTAATTTTTTCTTCAAAACTTCCAGCAATGGAGCATCCACAACTCTGAGAGCCAAGCTGTTACATTGATTAATCATTCTTATTGTCAGGAAATTCCTTCTTTATTTCCAGGTTGAATCTTTTTCTGATGAGCTTCTATCCATTGCTTCTTATCCTGCCGTCAAGTGCTATGGAGAATACTACCATCTTCCCTGTGGTAGTTCTTCAAGTATTGGAAGACTGCTTTCATATCTCCCCTGATCCTTCTCTTCATTAGATTAAACATACCTAGTTCTTTTAAATGTATCGTTATACGATGTAGCCACGAGACTCCTTATCACTTTTGTTGTTCTTCTCTGGACTCTCTAATATGCACTCTAATATGCCATAATATTTGCAATTATGTTGTAATCACTTGAGTTCTTGTCACTGGCAGGACAGTTCTTGTTCAAGAAAATACACTATAGTTGTTTTAATCCTCTGGTCCAGAAAACCATCACAAGCAGTCATAAATTGTCTCATTCAGGATAGTTGGTCTAGATTCTTCCTAAAAGTGAGACACTGAAGAATTCCTGGACTTAAAAGCCAGTTCTTCATTACATCATGTTATTAGTCATAGAAGGGATTTGAAAGTTGTTTAATAATTATGAAATAGTAATAGAGGTAAAGCATTTGGAATAATAGATTTTTTTTCTGATAAGTATTTTATTTGTTTTCTTAAAATCAATTATCCAAAATCCATATTTCAAAAGCTGTGGAAGATATTTTTATCTTCCTAAACACTTATGTAGTTAAGAGATGAGCAGAACCCATTATCTTCTTTTGCTAGTACTTATGACTAAATTTTATATATACAGTATATTCCATGTAAGAGTAAAAGAGAAAAAAAACATGCACCGATATAGATTTGTGGTTTATAATTTATAATTTATTTATTTAAAATAAATTTATATTTTCAAAACCTTGGCTTAATTGATTTACATTTCAGCATAAACTCTATTTTAGTGGATGTTAAAATTAAAGAGAAACATTCATCAGTAGCAGATATGAAAGCAAAAGAGAATAAATATATTTAAAGAACTCCTCTTACTTGAACAAAGACTATATCAGCTACAATCAATTAATTTCCTTAATTCTCTTTTCCATTCTTTGACCTACACTTCCTGTTACTAAATGTTGTTTACTAATAACTATAACAGATAATTTGCTACTGTTAATTCATTGATATATCTACATCCATCCATCCCGATAGGTAGGTAGGTAGGTAGGTATTGAGAAAGAGAGTTTGAACATAATATAGCACACCAATAAATTAATTTTGTTTTTATTCTGGAAGTTATCCCTCCTTTTATAATATTGTTTGTGTCAACATCTTAATGTTTCCACGCTATTATTCAATTTATTTTGGTTTAAAAGAAACATAATTTACAAAGAATATATTGATTTGCTAAGTTTGGGGTGATTTACATGATGACAATATAAAATGATAATATTGCCTAGTCAATAATGCATTTCAAGTATTACTTTTTCTGTTTATTCTTATACATAACTTTAGTGATAATAAATCCAGAGATTGCTAAGGCTCTGCTTGCTAAAGCTCTGAAATGCTTTCGTATGCTATTTACTAGCAGTAGTTTTTACCCATGATCTTTATCAAAAGGCTAAGAGATGGTATAAGAAGTAACATTTATTTTTGTTAACCTCAATAGTTTTTAGATGTCTATGAATTGTAGAAAGAGCTAAAGTAACATTTTTTTTAAATGCCAAATATGACTGAAGCTAAGAATGATCAAGCATAGCATTCAAAATATAATACACAGTTCTTCATTATATCTAGGTAAAAGCAATGTGTGTGGGGGTGTTACATTTTTTTTACTCTGAAATATAACAATACTAAATAAACTGTTTGACTTTTGAATGCACTGAACATTAACAGATAGAATATTACCTTAAATTCTGCACTCAAACATCTGGCAGGTAGAGATACTATTTTCAACATAGTCCATCTATGTTGTAATTTACTTATTGTTGGACTGACATAAACTGAGTTGATTCAACTTGAGGGATAGTATAAAGTCCATCTGTTCACTTCAGTTATTTTCCCTGAGAAAATTATACAAACTTATATTTATGCCTATACTCTGAAATTTTGAGATTGTCTTGGCATTAGTTGACAGTTGTCAAATTGTGTTGATTTTTAATTTACAAAACTGCGTATTAGATTTCTTTAAAAATATATTTGAACTTAGAATATCAGGAAGGAACTAGAGATAAATTGAAAGAGTTAATATCTTGTGGTCATGAACTAACCATACAGTGGTATCCTATATTACCTCATTATATTCTGCCGTAAAAAGTAAAAATTAAGTGTAGCTGCAGTATTGCAATCTGAGTGATTGGTGGAGCATTCTGCATTTATTTTTTAAATATGGTTCAAAAAATGTAACCAATGTTACAATTGTAGAATTGAGGAAAAGTATGAGGTAAATGTAATACAATAATTATTGTTTGTCAACTTTAGTTTTATCCAGAAAATAAATACCTATATATGTAAACTTGTTCTGGTATTTGCGAGTTTTCTAACTTCCTTTATTATGTTCAATTCTAAATCTAAATTTCCTGCCCTCCTCTTTGTATTTAAAGCAAATTGATAAATTACAAGTATTGCTTCACGAAAACAAACAGCGCTTAGAACAAGCACAGCAGGATACTGCAAAAGCTAAGGAAGAATGTCTGAAACTAACAGAATTGCTGGGCAAAGCTGAGCAACAACTGCATTTTCTCAGGTACCATTTATCTTGTTTGTTCTTAACACCAGTTTCAATTTCACATTTGTCCTTTGCTTATTCCCAGTTGTTACAAATTAAATGTCTACCTTTGAGGCAGTTTAGAAGTGAATGTATAATGAACAAAAAGTGGAGTGTGATAACAGTAAATGTACTAATCTGTTTCCTTCTGCCCTGTTCTTTAAAGCAAGTGGGATTTTTACTTAATTTGTAGTCAGTAAAAGTTATACACATTCAATTATTTTACAATTATAACTGTTTAAGGAAATAGCCTAATGTTTGTCAATTTCATATTAATACAAGTGAAAAATAGCCCCAATTTTCCTAATTATTTTGTACATAATCTTAAAAATATTTATGATACATACATAATTTATAACTGGTTAAAAAGTACTGGTAAACAAGTAAACTGGTTTAAAATGTATGGTAAATAAGTAATTCAATGTTCAAAAAATTATCTAAATAATATTATTTTAAAATATAATTGTATTTCTCTTCTTCATGACTGGCCCTGCTGAACACAATTATTCTATCATTTTTTAAAACAGAATTTAATTTTAATGTTAAGCATGAACTAATTTTTATTTGGGTGGGGACAAGTACATAAAAGCTACTATGATATGATAGTTAAAAGTATTTTAAAAAGCATTTTGGTTTATGGTTTTATTAGGTGGGGTGTACATATGTAGTGTGTAAGTATATACGTGTGCACATGAATAAAGGTGGTTCAGTTGGGTAATTGTAGTATTGCTCTTAAATTATCATATCATAGTCTTTTTTTAATGGTGTAAATATAGATTATGGGCCAGGAGCAGATGGGGGAAAAAAAACACTTTTCTCACAGTCTGTATTTGAATAACAAATATGCTAGAGGTTAATGAACTTGAAAAAAGTTTTGGGTAAGTTGTAAGATAGCAAAAGTTTGGATTTTGCAGGACTTCTTTTATAATGATTTGTTGTGATAGTTTACCAAATGGTTTACCAGTTTCCTTCCTAAGGCTAATCATACAAGTTATGAAGCTGTGTGGTGTCTTGGAAAAAATCCAAAGTGCAGATAGATTTCCTGAAAAACTTCCACACTTTTAATAATGATACTAACAGCCTAATTAAATAAAGCGTCCCGATAATATGTGACTTAAATTTGTCGAATTTAATGATTAAACACTATTTTTAATGTTGTATTACCTGATGACATTCACTCTGCAGAATTTTATTGTAGATATTGATCATATTAGAAATATTATAGATATTGATCATTTTGAAATTTGATAGATGGAGAGGTTTAATAACAGCCTATATACAGCCTATATTTTTGGTATAAACAGTCACTTCCCCCATTTGCTCTAATTCTGTTTGTATTCACTTCCACTATATTCTTTGTAAGTTGTATCTTCTGTACCAATGTCATAACATTTACTAAATTGTATTTTTTATATTTTCCTTATTGCTGTGAGAGGAAAAGGTGGCTGATAATTACTTCATTTATAATTTGGTTAACTGCCTATCTATTGTTTCCAATAACTGATTTGCCTCAATTTATAATATGATTGCATTGAAGAATTGGATGGTACTTTCTTATTCATAGCATATAATCATATATAAGCACAGTTGTTTAAACTATTGACAGTTATGTAGATTTCTTTACATGTTAAATTTGGAGTAGAAAACTGCTAGCCTCTAGAACACCCTAGCCTAGATCATACCAATAAGATTTGATAGCAAAATAGGATTTGTGGGGAGAAGCAAAGTAAGGTTTATAGACTTGATATATTTATACCCTTAAATGTTCCAGCCCCTCAAAGAACATATTTTTGTTTTTGCTTTGCTCACCTGGTGATAGCATGTCCTATTGGATTTTTTTGACATGAAAAATACAAATCTGAAAAAATTCATGGCATATTAGTTTATGAAAAATGCATTTTTTCAAGGTAAGTAATAAAATAGGTACATATTTAGACCATAAGTCACCACATTCTTCAAGCTTTTACTTACCAAGATGTAGCAAGTACATTTATTAATAAATATAGGTATTCTATTTCAAGCAAAGAATTTATATTTTATGCTGCTCCATAGATTTCTAAACTTAAAAATTGCATACAAAGTGGTAAAAACCATTAAACAGCTTAAAATTCTTGCTTCTCTGTAAGTTTAACCTATTTAATTATTCATATATACGTATACCCTACATTTTTGTGCATAGTCTAGCTAATTGTAAAAATTCAACTTAAAATGAGGCAAAATATTCTTTTTCACATTCAATGGATAGCCCAGAGAGTATTTAAAAACATCATGTTTCAGGTATAGAATGGGTAAGGGGCCTTCATTGCCTCATTATTATTTATTGTTGATTTAGTATCCATTAAATTTGTAAGATATTGCAAAGTTTGATACTGTTAATATATGTGAGTGTACTTCTAAATTATATACTCCAGACCTAGGATATGAAAAGTGATGGAATTATCAAGCATGGAAGCAGCAAAAATATTACTCTTCAGTGTTAGAAAGATAGATGAGTTCACTTTCTGTTTATGAAATTGGCTCTTGGGAAGACCGATCAACTATATTTTGGCTATAATTTAATGAAGTGTTCAAAAATTGTTACTGTTATTTTCCTTTATTTTTCTAGTTGCTTTTTTCCTTTCCTCTCCTTTTTATTGATATTTGTGTTGATCACATGGATGCTTGTAAATGTCAAACAGCCCATTCTTCCCAGGATGATTCATCTATGGCAGAAAATATCATATATGGATCACCTGAGTACATGTTTTTGGCATTGTATAATTACAAAATTATCAGCCTTTTTTTGTGTGGCACAGATGTTAATGCTGACACAGCGGTTTCACTAATAGTTATTTAGGACTCCAAAATTGAACTTTAGTATGCGAGGAAAAAGCTAGTATTCTGCTGACAAATGAACCAGTAGAAACATCTATCAGTGCAATATGGAGGTTAGTTAATTTTTTGTAACCCTCCTTTTTTGTTGTTGTTGTTGTTGTCTAATTTCCTGGTTTACTAAAGACGTTTTGCAGAGCAAATTGTGAAGATTTGAGTTGCTGCAAAAGGGAAGAGAAATAATCAAATTTCCGCTATGGATGAAAAACTCTTTGCATCATGAACTATGCTCTTAATTGTTTTAAAAAATAGTTTCATTGTTTGCATTTTGCACTTTTTAATCTAATTATAATTAGTTTAACTATAGTTTAATATATAACTCTACTAAGTAGAATTAGTAGTATTAGTAATTAGTATTAGTAAGGGGCGTGCATAAGCGCACCAAAGTGCATACCCTCCCTGTCCTATTGTTTCTTTTATTTTTCTTATATGTACTCATTTCTTGTATTCATAACTCTGTTTATCCTTATACCTATTATCTTGTAAGCGATTGACAAATCAAATAAATCAAATAAATAAATAAGTTTCTGGTATCATTCTAATGAAGTTCAATATAATTATTGATAAGTACTTAGTTTACTACTTCAGTTTTGTTTCCTCTAATCCATTCTTTGAATATTATTCATGTAGATTCTGGGAATAGATTATATAATAATTGTGCTACAAAATTGCATGCAAGCATAAGAGCTTAAATTTGCATTGGAATGTCAGGAGCTGCCTGTCATGATTTTGACAAACCCTCCAGCCTGCTGAGGACACTGCCATTACAGAAGATGTGTTCTGTGTCTTTTATTTACTTCTTTATTCTTTCCAAGCTCAGTGGAAAGTTGGGGAAAAATTTGTAAGGGGCTCAGAATTCTAGTCTGCTCATTCATCTGTCTGTCACTAAGCAGACTAACTCTGAAAACTGAATAGAATAAACCCACATTTGCTGTGGGTGGAAAAGCTGGCAAAAGAAAGAGTGAGTTTGAAAATGGGCAGTATTCAGTTGGAAACTGTAAAGAAACAGGAAGTTCCAATGCATTATTATGGGAAAATCTGTTGGGTAGCAGCCTAAAATGTTGCTGAGTCTCTAAAGCCCCTCTTCCCTCCAACTCATGTGGAGTACAGCTGTTATTAAGGGGTTAAGAAATACTTTCCCTCCCTTTTTTGATCTACAGAGCCAAATTATTCTATCCATATCTTTACTAATATTTGTTGGCATTGGTATTTTTCACTAGGAGAACTGATAGATATGTAATCAATAACTGATAAATAGAAGAATAACTTTTGGAAACCATATATTTGGAAGATATTGTTGAAAGGACATATAATGATTATCAGAACGTTTTTAGCTTCAAAAACCTATCAGGACTACTTGTAGCCCCTAGCACATTTTCCATAACTTCATTAGCATTCATTGAAGTCCATGTATAATAAATAAGATACATAAATTAAGTCTATCACTAATAGTTTTTTGGAACGTAGTTAAATTGTTTATACTTTTTAATGTTTCAGTATGACATTGATAGAGTCTGTTCTACTCTGTGAAGAACAACCAGTCCTTAATTACTACATTGTACCATTCTAAAGATATACTTATTATACATAAACATAAAGGCTAAGGTTTTATTTTCTTTTTAAAAATATGTTAGTATTATTAAATGTTTATTTATGTTTATATATTTGTATATAAATGTTATATATTTATATATGAAAAAATACAAAGATCTAGAATGTTTTAATTTACAAAATATGAAATGAGTAGTCACATCAAAGTATAATTAGTAACTGTTCATATAAGTTGAAATTTGTGTTTAATGGGTGAAAATTTTAAAGTACACTTAATGTTTAATTTCCAATATATTACCTGGAATTTTATAATTAAAAGGAAATATAAAAGCCTGAAATAAGATAATATGCGTAATCAATTCTTTAGCTCCTGTTTTTATATGTTTATTTTTCATTAAATTTAGGATCGTTTGTGGTTTAGTCAACATTTATTCCTATCTGTTTTTCATATACAAAGGCAGCAAGATGCCAGAAAATAAACTGTTAACGGAGAATTAACTTCTTTGGCATGCTTTCATACTTATCTTCCAAATTAAAGAAAATGAAATGGGCAGAAG